TCGATAGGTATACTTTCCTGAATGTGGTAACCTTAACTTCTAGTACTACCCCAAAGATTTAAGTTTACTCCAGAACATGAAATCTTTCTTTCAGCAATACCAACCATACACTAATTCTTTGGGGGGAAATGGGAACTTGGTAAGAAAATAAAAACATAAATTTGACACATCACACTACTACGCAACATGTATAAGAGACAAGATAATGATCGAGCAAATGAAAGGGAAGGTGATAAAGGCAGGGACAGGACAGTCCCAAGCAAAACTGAGTCGTCTACAATGTATCAAGAAAACCTCAGGTTTAAAAAAAATGTTGGAGTAACCATAGAACGGGAGAAGTACTAACAGCAGTAACTCGTGATGGAAATATTACATCTTTTACCCATCCTGAGAACAGTTGATGAGGTAAAAACAGTAGAACAAGAGAAAGAAAAAACAACAAACTAACTACATATTATGTTGTAAAACTTCCTTAGACTATATTCCTTCAACATGATTCTCAAGTACATAAGGATGGATTGCAATTAATGCTTGCCGCCAATGTCATTGTTCAATTATCAATCGATAATCTAGTCAACAATCATTTAGTTGATATAACCCTACCATTGCAATATTATAGGACTAATGCCTACTGAAAAATATAATGATATCGACAACAAAGTCACTTATTTATTAATGCATTCATATCTCATGTAATTACCTCATCCATGATAAGCATAGAACAATCTTTCAGTACACAAACACCCTTTTTCGCAAGATCTAATATTCTTCCTGGAGTTCCAACTAACAAATGAACTGGTTGATATAGTCGCATGATATCATCCTTTAAACTGGTACCACCTGTTGTAACCATAACTTGAATATTCAAATTCTTCCCGAGTTCCTTACACACTTGTGAAGTTTGAAGAGCCAACTCTCGAGTTGGAACAAGGATAACAACTGTTCACATAGAAAGTTAAAACAAATGTCAAACAAGTGAACAAAACAAACTGAGATAGGAATCAATATTGCCATTGAAATGTGGCATAACAGCATTTTGACCAATCATCTCCAGTGCCTAGTGGAAAAATGAAATGACACGTTTTAAAATTAAAGTCATAAAATAAATTATTGGGGCGTATAAAATAATAGTAGAGGTTGAAATTAGCACAGGCCCAAGACAAAATGCCTTCACCATTTCTTTTCACCGTGGGGTGGGCAAACTGAGTAGATTAATGCATAGAACTCAAGAGGCTAGTCTTGTGGAAGGGTTTTTTTGAAGGAAAGAACAGAATCTATCTCATGATTTACAACTTGCAAGTGACATTTCGTTTTCCTTTGGACATTAACAAGATATTGCTTTCATGTCTTAAACATGGGAAGACCTCAAGAATGAGATTCAACATGAGCACCAGCTCTGTGGCCAGAATCAATTCTCTGGTCGAAGAAGGGGGCAACAAAGGAAGGATGTTGTTGGGAAGAATTTGATGCCTGATGAAAAAACTCAGGTTGAACTGCAGTGCATTGAGAATGTTTGGGATAACAATAATGCTATTTAGAATTTGAATAATAGAAGGAATCTCAATATAATGGTATGTGTTTAGAAATAATATAAGACTCTTATAATGAAGGTTCAAAACAAACCTTGGATTACATTGTTATCCTGATCAATCTTTTCTAAGGCGGGAATGCAAAATGCAGCTGTCTTTCCAGTTCCGTTCTTCGCTCTTGCAAGAATATCACTACCAGTTAAAGCGATCGGAATACTTTCTTCTTGAATAGGAGATGGTCTTTCAAAGCCTTTCTCATAGATTCCCATGAGTAATTCACGTTTTAGAAAATAGTCCTCAAATTCATTTCCTTTGGTAGCCGTCACATCCTGAAAATGGTTAATAAGCAAGTCAGAAGCTAACAAAATTAGGTGTGTTCTCATACATAAAGGCCAATGAGAATTTATAATTTGCATGAACTAGACAGAAAGCACACTGAAGAATTAAAATATCAAAATAACACTAATCTGTCATTCCTGTGCGTACGGATCAATGAGCATTCAGCAGTCGATATGCTATAAACTGGCTGTAGAGCATTACAAAAATTATCAGTAGGATACCTCTGTTTTATATCGTGTATCAGGTGGTGGAATCTTTAACCTAGCCTTCCAATCTTGTGAACTGCACATAAAAAAAATGCATAAATGATAACAATCAGTTTCTATCTGAACCAAGCAATACAACTTGCCAAAATCCAAAACTTTTCCCGTTGATAAAAGAAATTTAGTTAGATATAAAATCGTAAGAACATCCGCATGCACAAAGTCTTCAGTTACATGAAATATGCGCTAAATATCACTAGTGGCGCTCAGACAGATAGATGAAACCGGGAACAGAAACCCAGAAAATTTTACTATACCATGGCTATTGCTAATGGGATCCACCATATTTACAAAATTAACGACGTGCCTCCTTCTATAGCAAAAAAAAAAAACATACGCTCGCAACCCAACAATTCCCAAATCACAACTCAAAAATCTCCTATATGATCATATCATACAGAGAAATGAACCCAACCATCCTATGTAAATGCCCATAAAAAATAATGCATACACAGAAACACAAATCCTTCATGTATTTAACACGAACCTCGAGTCAACAGCCTCCGACTGCACGGTCTTCTCCACCTCGTCAACGTTAGAATCGGCAGGACCGCCACCTAACTGGTTCCTTTTCAGCCACTGTTGTTGTTGTTGAAGCTGCTGGTTTTGGTGTTGATGTTGGTGCTGGTGCTGGTTCTGGTGCTGCTGTTGTTGATACTGCTGATTCGGTACCAAATTTCTTTGTACATATTGCTGCTGATGTGGTCTTGACTGAAACGAAGGATTCGCATTCACGCCTCCGCCTCGTCCAGCACCGATCCCAGGAGGATACCTTCCTCTATTGTTCATCACTACTCTCACAGACCCTAACCACGTTCAAAAAAAAAGCGGGAGCTAGGGTTTCCGATCGAATGATTGAATGACGACAAAAACAAAGAAGAAATCTACCGAAAACTACCAAAAAGATCCAAAATGAAAAACAATAGACCACAAAAGGGTTTCGCTCAAGTTCATAAATGATTCCTACAATTTACACGACCAAAAATCCACCCGTTCTCGTATTCTCAAGGCGGATAAAAGGCAAAACTGACGACGAAAATGGAACAAAAATAACAAACAAACAAACAAAAAAAACCAGAGAAATTTGTACAGATCTAGGTGCAGAAATGGCAGGAAATTGCAGCAACAGAAAAATTTACAGAGAATTAAAGTAAAGATTTTGATCGTAGAAGCTGTGGCAGATTCAAACGCAGATGAGAGCGGCCTGTTTTTCTTTCGTCAATGTTGTTTTTGGGTCATTTGCAGAGAGAGAGAGAGAGAGAGAGAGAGACGATGGATGAGATGGAAGTTACCATCGGAGAGCTCCTAGGGCATCCGAGGAAGTGGGTCTACCATTTTGCAGAATGGTCCCTGCTATACTTTTACTTTACATATAAGACCAAAATTTCCTTTAATTTCCATTTCCTACCCGTTCTGTGTGCTGGTTTACTAATTTCCCCATTTTTCAGGGGCTTCCTAGAAGCTACGAAAAATTTGAGAATTAATTTTATAATATTTGTTCAATTATAGATTATGTTTTTTTCTTTTTGTTCTAAATGCATATTTTTTAATTATTTTTTCTTTTTTTAGAGAATAAAAATAAATTATTATGGGTAACGTAAACATGGAAATTGCGCAATGAGTCTTTGCTGCATGTCCCGAGAAAATCAGAGGGGGAGTGAGACTCTGATTCGATAGGCCACTTGATAATATCAATACTGAGTTTCCATATTAGATCGTTTTCTTTAAACTTACTGCCTAAATAAGAGTCCAACGAACCAAATCAAAATTCGAATAAAATAAGGAACAGGTAAAAAGTAAAGGAAAAGGTGTCCCTGCTCTGAACCCAACCCGAATATGAACACGGAATAACAGGAATAAGTTAGAAAAGATTCGAACACGAGAATCAGCTGTTATTTATTAATTATAATATTTGAGAGATTTTACAGGTGAGTTTGAAATAAAAAAAAAATATTAACATGATCCAGTTAAATTACAATTTGGTCCCTATAATTTGAAAAAATTAAAATTCAGACCTATAATTTAATAAATTATAAATTTAAGTTGGAAAATTGTGATCCCTAATATTGGTTCAACCTCCAAACTCTCATCAGTTGTGTGTGAAGGAAAAGAAACATATAAATAAATAAAATTAATTTTTTAGCAAAATAAAATTTAAAAATCCAATATTTTCATTATTTATTATTTCTTAATTTTTATTTACAAGGTAAGAAAGGCATGTTTTTGTTTGTTGGTTGATTCATATTTATTATCTTCATTAAAAAAAAAAAATTATACATAAATGTTCCAACGAACCCACTTTAATGTATTTTTACTCAATTTTTATATTCATATATTTAGTTTTTAAACTATTTTTATATCCAATAAGTCCATAAAAATTTAGAATATTAAATAATAAATATTTTTTTTCTATATATTCAATTAAAAAAATTAACTAATTTTTAGATATAAAATTAAAATTTATGTATAATAAGTTCAATGACACATATTAAACGTTTCTTAAAATTCAGAGACTAACTAGACACCATAATATGATAATATTAAACTATAAATTTTGTCTCAAAATTTTAGTTTATCATCTATTTTAGCATTTATTAATATATTTTTAAATTTAAAATTAGTATAATAAGCATACAATTTTTAGCTTTCGAGGCCAAAACTCAACAAATGATTAAGAAGTTCGAGATTTAAACTTCTGATCCGAGAGCATTTTCAATTTAACACTTGCTATCGAACCATGAACGTCTAAAACTACAAAACGATCTCGTTTGTGTAGATCAATGCTTTTTTTTTTTTTTTTTTCATTCCACTAAATCACAAAGATCATTGTAATGCAAGAAAAAGCCTCAATAATTCATCTCTCTCAAGATATAAAACCATTATATTATGCATTTATCTAAAGCCTGCCATTATCAAGACCAACCATACCTTCTGCAGTAGCCGCCATGGACGCCGCCAGCTCCATTCTTAGGCTCTCAACTTTCTCTTTCAAACCAGATGCCTCCAAAGCTTCAACAATCTTCTCCTTAATCTCAGCCTCCACCTTCTCAACCTCTTTCACATTCAACCCATCCGCAGCCATTTTTGATTGCAGCTCCTCGATCTTCCCACCAAGTCCTGCCATTGCTATGCCCTTCTCAATCTCCCTATTGATCTCCTCTCTCAAACACCGCACCTTCTCTCTCACCTCGGCCGGTGGAGTGGCTGCTGTCTTCTTCACCACTCCAACGACATTCAAATTTGCTGTCTTTAAGACATTGACAAGCTCTTCCTTGACTCTTTCGAGTTCTTCCACCAGGTCTTTGTCCATTGGGGCACCATTGGAGATGATATTGTCCCAATTTTCCTTCAATTGTCTCAGTTTTGCTTTTGTCTCTGATGGGATTTTGTTGTTGATCTTTGTTTTTAGTTCTTCACTTTTCTTCTTCTGCTCAATGAGCTTGTACACCATGTCTAGCTTTGAAAGTTTCTGTTTCAAACCCAGATAGGAACCTGGCTTTGATAATTTCTGCTTGAATTCTTGCATGATTTTGTCTACTTTTTCCTTCTGGTTTCTGCTCAGTGGTTGCTTAGATGACCCATTTGAAGCTTTGGAGAGTTCTAGCTGGAGTGATTCAAGCTTTTGTTCTAAGCCCATGGAGATGAATGCATTGGTTATCTCTTTGTCAACATCTTGTTTGAGTTTCTCAATTGCTTGAGCAGTGATTGGATCAGATGGGCCTTTTACTTTTAGAATCTTCTGCTTTAGATCCTCAAGTTCGGAGTCTATGTCACCAGGCTTTGGCAGGTTGGTTTGAGATGGCATCATCTCGCGTTTTCTCTTTGGATCAATGGGAATGCCTTCTTGAAAACCGCCTATGTGTCGGTACTTTAGCATTCTGTGGTGGATCAACTCTTCTGGACTCATGTTTGACAGTTCCTAAACAAAGTCCATTTTAGCTTTTATTAGAAGGAAATCACATGAAGTATATGGAAGAATTCATCTTCTTATCTCAAATGGTTCAATTTTCCAAAAGAATGAGAGAAGAACTTCTAATTGACAAAATATGCAAGAAAATGACGGTTAGAATAAAATAGGTTTTTTTTTTTTTTTTTTTTTTTTTTTTTT